GAAGAGGTATATCACATTTGAGAACAAAGTGTCCCAGACTTCATGAGGAACATTACTCCGCCCAACATTCCGCCCTCATGTCATCAAAGAGCTTGTACCAGTGACTTCAAAGTACATGTACCTAGCCGCTTGCCATCTTTCTATAGTAGATATTTAATTACTCTGGGTACTATGTTCTAAGCTGAAATATACTTAACAGAAGCTAGATGTGGTTCAGATCTGAGACGACTTGATCTCGAAGGCATGAACTAATGCCACGAGGGAAATAACAAATAAAGTTAAAGCGAGATACCTTATTGCTCTATTCTGGATATTTCTTATATCTTATACGTAGAAATACCTTGTACGTAGATGAATGGGACGGTTATTCAATCATAATTTTCAAGAGCCGATATGTCCTATGCTGTCCGATTTTCGTGTTAGATTTTACGATCAGATCACGAACTAAAGATGTGATACTTTCCACAGGGATTGGCCACCAATATTCCTGGATAGAACTCGACATCATAAATCCGAAGTTAACCTCTAAAAATCAACAATTTATTACTAAGGACCACCGAGGAACTTGCTCCCTAGATTTTTCAAATGCATCGATGGAACGCAATTTGAGAGAACGTCGATGTCTAGGGTAGGTGGTATTTGACCATGGCCTGGCAACTCTTCTAAAACCGACAGCATCCAAGTTGGCTGTTATACATATTTATTCCTTGTTGATTTTGCCTTTGTATGATGGAATAAATAAAAAGTAGCATGGAATGATACGGTATAGAAGGATACAGGTATTTATTCACAGCTATCTTGAAACCAATTGAGCTGGGATTGTGGCTACATACGTTTACTATAGGGTAGCTAAGAAACATGACCCCGCAGCCCACCAGGACCAGGACTAGGACCTGAACCCGTCGACGACAATAGCCAACGGGCTGTTGAGTTCGTCATTGTGCCAATCGCTCCCTGCGCCAGAACTTTTATTCTCTCCACGACAGTATAGAACAATATTAAGGCTACGAGAAAGACACATAAAAGGAGATGGAGCTACGCGTATAGCGTGATGAAAACCCTCCCAAGTCACAAACTACATCGTCCCAAAGTTCTCTTCAATCATCGCAGCAGCGCTTCAAGACGAACGACTAGGAACGATTCTCACGACAACACCACCAAAAACAGCGCTACTGATACTGCTGAGGCAAATAGAAGACGGCCCCTTGACCACCCCAAAGGACAAAATCAAGAACGGAGACAAAGTATCAGCAGCTCGAACACCATGGCCGCGATTCCGGCCTTGTTTACCTCGTCCCCCCCAATCCGTGACGCCCTGACCACGCAGACCTCCGATAAACAGGACGAGACGGTCAAAGTATGCCTGCCTTTTCTTTCAGGCCAAGAGCCTGGAACACGCAATGCTTACGGAATTCCGCATCTGAGCCGGGATCGCCACGTCAAATTTCTGCAGACCCAACTGGGCGAGTTGCCTGGGGCCTTCAAGGCCATGGACCCGGGCCGGCCTTGGATCTTCTACTGGTGCCTAGCTGCGTTGACACTTCTCGGTGAAGATGTGGTCTCCTATCGCGAGAGACTTATCGCGACTGTGCGTCCCATGCAGAACGAGGGCGGCGGATTTGCTGGGGGCTTCGGCCAAGACTCACATCTCGCCACTACATATGCAATAGTCCTGTCGTTGGCCCTCGTCGGCGGGGATGATGCCTTCGAGGTGGTGGACAGGAAGAGTATGTGGAGATGGTTGGGCTCCCTCAAGCAGCCTAACGGAGGATTTCAGATGGCGGTAGGGGGTGAAGAGGATGTGAGGTATGTTTATCGCTACATCTCCTCAGAGAGACTAGCCTTTCCACCATCGATGCTGTGATACGTGACCTTCTCTTGCTCACTCAATACTTTGGTCCAGGGGGGCCTACTGTGCCGCGGTTATCATCTCCCTGCTCAACATTCCCCTCGACCTCCCAACAGACTCGGCTGCATATTCAGCAGGCCACACTGACCTCCTTAGTGGGTTGGGAGAATGGATAAGTCGCTGTGAGTACCTTCTTGCCCCCCCTCAAGTCTTGTACGAGTCACTCATATCTCCGAGGCCAAACATACGAAGGAGGTGTGTCAGCTAAGCCGGGAACGGAGGCCCATGGTGCATATGCCTTCTGCGCTCTAGGCTGTCTGTCGATTCTGGATGCTCCACACAGAGCTGTCCCACGGTATGTCTCTTTCTTTTTTCTTCCTCTGCCCACGCCTCCGAGAAGACAGGAAAGAGGGGCGTGAAGTACGGGGACGGCGCGACAACGGAGAGAAAGGCGAGAGGGAGGAGCCCACCAACAGACTCGACTTTTCCTTGCTAATGCACTCTGGCATGTATCTAGCTACCTCGACGTTCCACGACTCATCTCGTGGATCTCGTCCCGACAGAATGCCCCAGAAGGCGGCTTCTCGGGTCGCACGAATAAACTTGTTGACGGATGCTACTGCCACTGGGTCGGTGGATGCTGGCCCTTGATCCAGGCCAGCCTGGGCGGCCCGCAGGAGGGACCCAAAGCTGAGGACGTAAACAATGATGCTGCGGCAGAAGAGGCAGGCGATCATAGCTTGTTCAGCCGAGAAGGTATGATCCGTTACATCCTCTGCTGCTGCCAGGACACGTCCAAGCGCGGCGGGCTCAGGGACAAACCAAGCGCGTAAGGATTCCCCCCCCTCCTCTCTGGTGCGCCACTTCGGGCCAAACTGACATTTTTTATTACTTGTCTTTTAGCTACTCCGATGCCTATCATACTTGCTACGTACTCTCTGGCTTGAGCTCTGTACAGCACAAGTGGACCCTGAATGCTGCTCGCACTGACCCGTCCGTTGAAAGGACTGACAAGTGGTCTGTAAGCCCCTTCAAGGAGGGTGGCCACCAGCTATTTGACGAAGAGGACCGCGTCCGCACAACTCACCCCGTGTTCGTGATTCCCCAGCAAAAAGCAGAGGACATGCTGAGCTATTTCGCAGCAAAGGCCGGGTTCTAGGAATGGGCTGCTTGAAGATTGCCCAGCCACACCGACTACACTTTGTCCCGCTCTATCAGATATGCGGGTTCAGGTCGTATGGCTCTATCACGTGCTGTAAGACTGCAGCTGGCACCTAGATCGAGGACAATGGACGTAGGGACGGCACAGTCGGTAGTGTAGTAGTGTATATTCCGAAGGGAGATAGCATATGTGGATATCAAATGGTAAAATCAAAAGTCCTGTACATTTCACGTTCCAGACGACCCTCCCCAGTTCTAGAACAGCATATCTCCAGGGGAGCGGCACCAGGCCAAGGACAGGCAGTGCAAGAGGCATAAATTGGCGATATAATGGGCAAATAAATCCAACAAGTGAAAAATTCCCATAAAATGGCTGCGCCCAGGCCGGACCCCTCAAATTACCCTATCTGCTGGAGCATGCATAAGGGAACGAAGAAAAAAAAAAGTGGCAAGGCGAGGAGAGAGCGTGTGACAACATGGTTAACTATAACGAGTCCCGAGCTGAGGAGTCCATCCAGATCCCTTATCCTATCGCCGGTCGGCTGTCAGTATGGATGGGGAAAATCAATATTATGTGGCACTCGATGGACCCGATGAGTTCTCATGGACCAGGGTGCCCGATTCTCGAATGTTTAATCAAGCAAGATGGGCGAATGGCCGCCAGGGAACAGGTGGTTACGAACACCAGGAATGACGTCGAGGAAATGAAAAAAAGGCCGATGAGGCGTCTGCTTTGCATGCATACATAGGAAAAAGTACTTCAGATGGTTGGCAACTTGGGTAATGGTGGGGGGGGGAGGGAAGCACGTAAGGTAACGGCGGCGGACAACCGTCTAGCCGTGCGGCCTCTCTGTTTTGGTTTGCCACAATTGCGCCGGCGAGATCGTACATATGTACTTCTCTGCCTGTCCCTTGGCACTGCATGTCCTGCACATCATCTTGCCAAAGGAGGGGAGTGGACAGGGAGGGAGGGGGGCAGCCCTCCAACCACCATCAGAGGACCCCGGTGGGTGTCTGGCCAGCCGGCCATACATGCAGCATAATGGTATACCTGCCGGCCGACATAGATACTTGGGGTATACACTCGGGCTGGAGGTACATGCGGCCAAGGACGATGAACACGCGATGATGGGCATGCCTACCTACGCATGTCTCAGTGCCCCCCGGGGCGGGTTTCGAGTCTCGGCGCAGGAGCTGGCAAGATCCGAGACATTCTCTAACATGTATCTGAAAGTCGATCTAGAACAACCTTATGTGGACTGCGAAAAGATCCGGAGTCTCGGGCTGCCCATATCGCGTTTGCCAGCAAGGAAAAGACCAGGAAGGCTTGGCTGGCCCGAGAGACATCCCGCTCTGTCAAAAAGAGCGGGCGCTGATGTCGACGGCTGCATAAATGCGATACAACGTGTCTATTCTGACGTTGAGAGGACCGGGTCAGAGAGAATCAAATGCGGTGGGTTGAGTTCTGGCCGCATCTGATGCGACCGCCCACGTACGTTAGGTTAGTAGGTTAGGGGTAGGTATAGGGCATGTACTGCTCGCTGGCAGTGTAGTGGGGTGGCACCATCCAGGCCCTCTTGCTAACGCATCCATACCTCCTCAAGAACGGTGCAGAAGGTGAGCAGGAGGAGCATGTACTAATACAATTACACGTAGCTTGGAGGTCACATTCGTCTGGCACCTTGGCTGCTCTGATCTGGACATGGGAGACCGACCCGACCCATTGATGGCATTTGGGCGGTGGGGTTCGAGGTGGCTACAGGATAGGCCCCAGGTGGATACAACGGCCGCCGTCTGCATTTTCTTCAGCCATCCGTACGGACGGCCCCCAGGGATCAGACCTCTACCGGGGCCAAGTTGATACCGAAGCCAAATCGGCATTGGATGGGATGGGCGGGACGGAAATAAGATATGAACGACAGAAAGGGTCCAGTGTCGGGGTACTGCTACAATGCTTCATGTGCGTTGTCTGCCCGCTCAGGATTCCATCATGGCTGACTGTCCGCGCACCCGATTCTCTTTGCGAAGTAAGCTGGCCGCACCGGGCTGGGGTTATTGTGAATGGGATGAAGGAGTTGCTCAGCTGGCCAGGGCCCGGCTGGCTTCCGTGCCCCCGACAGTAGGCGCCGTCAACGAGAAGAGGGAAGGTAAGTATCGAAGGTATCTCGGCCAGACCAGCTGCAGGTTGAAATTACTTGTGGAAAATAAAGGTCGAACCATTTCTGGGTCGCGGGACTGGCACCAGGTACGTACCTTGTGACTGACCCTGGTCTCGCAAGCGCGGGGTTCAAGTCTTTCCAGGATGCTCTCTCCATGGTTTCCTGCCCCTCCAATCGTCACCACTGACATAATGGGAAGTGACACGACAGGGCTTTGCCAATTGCCCAAAAGTGAAGACGGAGCATTGTTTACACGGATACAAGGACAGGGCCGCACGGAGAAAAGATCTCGTAGCAAGGATTGGTGGTTTGTTCATTTGGCCATTGGGCCACTCTCGAAAGCCACCGAGTCTGAGGTGCATGCAGATGCAGCGAATCGCCCCAGGCTAGTTAGTTTGCTAGCGCTTGGTGCGTGGAGGTCTCAAGCTCGTCTTGGGCTTCACTTTTTTCGCGTCACTGCAGACCGCCGGGAGCTGACCGCAACAACCTGGAAACGTGCCAACGGCCGGCATTCGGCCCAACTTGGCGAACACGTTACGAACTGGATGGAGTGGTGTAGGTAGACACGTACTTAGACTTTAGGGCTGTGACGTTCCTTGCCCACGCGCTGTCCTTGGGGGGTTTTAGGTGTGATTTCTGGAACATTTCCAATTAGTCGAATCGAAGGCATGGAAGCAAGCCAATGTGGGCTACAGGACACGTCCAATTAGCGTTGTGTGACATTGACGTAGTATTTCCATATTTTCTCTCTCTCTCCTTCCCTCGCTATTTTTTCTTTTTTTGCCCATCGTGTCATGTGCAGATGGAGTAAGCCGATAATCGTTTAATCATACTCGTGGTGTCTCTGCTGCATATGCGCACATGGAATCCATCCATTCGCCTTTTTTGCGGGCTCCTCTCTGTAAGCTGCCTAGCTCCAGCTATGGATGTAGCTAGAACATAATTCTGCCTGGAAATTCGGTCGGCCTCACCACAGAATACGAACGTTAAATCCGTCTTCTTTGCTTTTTCTTCCCCGCGGGCAAATGGCCTCATCGGAAGCTCTGTACCCATCCTCGGCGGCCGTGTAAGTGGTTGGCCGCTGGTCGAGTCTTTCGAGGCTGTCAATCGCTACTAAACTGTAGGTGGGGCACTCGCTGCCCATACTCGGTAGCTTCAATGGGTCTATCGAGACTGGCACCTCTTCTGCATTTTAGTTTTTCCTTCTCTTCGGGTTTCACCCCCTTCTTTCCTCTCGCGATGCCTATAATTAGCATGAGGTAGTAGTCGGTCGGTACGCGGTGGTTCAATTGTTCGTCTACTCCGCGGATAGCCTATGTAGGCCTGGCATGTAGAAGTTCTTGCGGATAGGTACATCGATACCGAGGTACCTGCGGTTGCCCTTGCGGTACCAGCATGATGACAAGCCGCTACTTGATCCTCTCTGCAGAGTACTAGGGTCGACTCTGCAGCAGCAACAGCTTCGGTATGTACCCAGCAGGTAGGTAGGTCAGCCAATGGTCGAGTCGGGGTCCTGGACGGGTACTACTGGGTTAGTGGGCAGGTAAGTTTTGGTGTTGTCTTTGTCCACCTTCTCTAGCCCCGAACCCCTCCTCCCTTTCCTTCCCTTTTCACGAGTAATGTCAACAACCGCGCACTGCCAACTCATCAATGCATGAGTACCCCAAGGCCTCACAGGCTTGTCTTCCCTAGCTGCCTCGACCCCTCACGACCACCAGAGGCCACCGATCCAATCAGCCTGGCCTTTACACCGTTAACTTCCAGTCCTCATTCCTGAAGCTCCAAGCGACAGGACGCACGACAGGGATCTGCTCGATCCACCACTCCACTGCCTGCCCTGTTCATGCACCTCCTTGTTCCTCTCACCGATTATTTTGCTCTCTGCGATTTTCGTTTCTCATCCAGCATGGCCATGGCGTGGCGCCTTTGTACCGGCTGGTCCCAAGGGCTTACCCACTCGATGCACATTGGACAATGGATGGCTCGCAGATGGGGCCCCTCCTCCCCACCTCTCGAGAAGCACCTACTTGCTTCCTAGTGCAGTCTAAGCACCTTCACCCCATCGGCCATGCTTTAGCTTTGGAGGACCACCTTGACGAGCCCTCTCTGGCTCGCTCCGGGCGACGTCGACGTTTGGCTGATGGTCATATGGCGTACCAACCACTCGGGTTAAACCAGACGTACGTGGCTAACAACCCACCCCAAGGACAAAGGGACTACACCATCCCAAGCTGCTTGCATGCCTGCTTGCCCCTCGTCTCGTCAAAGGCCCGCCCGCTTGTTACCGCCTTGATGAAATCCCCATAGAAACCAAGCCCGGGTTACATGGCTTGACGACCACCTGCGGACCTTACACTAGCACTGACATGCATACCTACTCCAGCGGCCTATACGTAGGTTACGGAGTACCAAGACCAAGGTCACAGTACCCAAGGCCTTTGATTAAAAAAACCCTGGACTGAGCCACAGCGACTTTCCAATTTGAGTGACCTGCCGTAGCATGACAGGTGGTCCTGCAGCGCATGTTATATCCAGACCCTTATGATTTCCCAGGGAGTTGGCCTCTGGGCCCAGGTACAGGCCGATACATGGCCTCGGTCGCATCATTTCTCGTCTCTGTGCATTGACCAGAACTGCCTGGCATCAGATCTCGGAGGGCGAATCCTCTGGCCGGCCCAGGATGCCGCCCGGGGGGAGTCGAGGGACTACCACAGCAACAACATCATAATTCGTAGTACATTGCGTGCAAACACGAACGCGGATGGACGCCCTCCTGGCCTCCTTTGTTGTCTGTTATTTGTTTCGCCACCACCTAATCTCTTGTAGGCGAAGTACATGCCCGAAACCGTGCAGATACTTACTCGGCTGCATCCAGTCCCGAGCTATCTATTAGTCCAGTCCCCACGCAGGCCAGGCTCATCAACATCGCCGCCTGCCGGGGGGGGAAAAAAAAAGGTCGACGATGCAGAAGAGGCAAACCTGGCTTACCGAGTAAGGAATGTCCGTTCTGATCAGACTGAGCGACCAACTCGAAGGCCGTCGACACTTATCAGAGAGATCGCCTGGGTGCTGCAGCCCACATCTGTTTGGTGGAGGTGGTCTAGTTCCTCAGCGGCTTTTGATCAACTGGCAAGTAGGTAGGCCAACACATCAAAACGGGTCACCCTTTCAAGAGCCGCATCGTTTGCTTGCATCTAATTTACCTCCGTTCGCGCGTTGCTTTGTTTTTGTATCCAGACACCCCTGGCTCCGCGCTAGCAGGTCCGTCTCAATAAAGCACACATGTCTCGCTGTTGATGGCTCCTTGTTTCCCGCACCAAGAACCCTGGATCCTCAGATTGGTTTCCCTGCTTCAATATCACTCCCCGAACCTCCACTCTCATCTTCGGCGCCGGACTCTCAAAATCCTCCTCGTTTCTCCCCCCCCCTCAACACCTCATACTTCCCGACTTTCTTTTATACAGTCTTGTCCTCACCGTTGGGCTCGAACGCATCTCAGCCGTTTGTTTCAATCAAGCCCCTGTCTACCTTTCCCTCACACGATCCGAGATCTATCCTGTCACCACCAACCTTGCTCATTACAACTGCCGTTGTTTCCACTTTTTTTCTCACTCCCTCCTCTTCCTAGCTGTCTCAACAGCAGCTAGCTGCCTCACTCGCCGAGCCAATTCTCCCCATTGAAACGCAAATTTCACCATGGGAGGTTTCTACATGCAGTACCTGGAGAGTAAGTCTATCCATTTGGCACCGAGACGATTTGTTTCACCCATTTCCGTCCGCAATTCCTCCCACTATGATGCGTTGTCTATGCGATTGTGTATGTGGGGGGAGCAGGAGTAAGGCGTTCTAAGCCTCTTTCAATTGAGTGGTTTGAGTTGCACCGAGACATTCGTTGAAACTCGAGAATATCGTTCTGCGATACTCCGTTCCCGCAGCGGCATCTGGCGAATGTGCGCTCACATTCTGACTTGCATCGAGCTGAGTCTCGCGTACCATGTCCATTGCCGGATTGGTGTCTGCGAGGCCCAGCCGAGACGCGAGTTTGGGAGGGTGCAGGCACGTTAGCTGCAGGCTGTTCAATTGAAATCATCGTGAAGATGCAGATTCATCAGGGGCTAACATGTTACTCTCCAATTAGGTCTTTGCCGTCGACGAGGATGGACGGACCCTTCCTACGAATGCTACCATCACAATAATGGCTTCACATGCCTTGTGCTCGTCAATGGCCGAGAGTATCAGACGGATCTCGTCTATGAATCGGATCTTCTGGCGCAGGAGAATGCGGCAATGCGTGCATTTATGGTTTGCCGCAACTTTTCTGTCAACGGCGGCATGCTGGCTCGCAATGGCATTGTCCAGGGCCTGCCCGCTGCTGATGGAAAGCGGCGACACAAGACCCGCCATGCTTCATCAAGGGACAGCACTGAGCGACACAGCAGACGATCTGGTCACCACTCCAGCAGCAGCTCCACTGCCTCGTTTGACTGAGTTCTTCTATCCTAAATCCAGGCCGGGAGTACCAAAGGTGAAGGTCAGCCTTCTTTCCTACCCACTGTCCGAGCTTTCACCGGCCAACTCGGACCCTTTTTTCTTCTTCAAATAAGGGCTACGACGGAGTCATTTGGAAATCCGGGACGTGTTTTACAAGCGGTTGAACGGCTTCACAGCAATTCCCCTCGAGGAAATACCCGCAACAATCTCACTATTGGGTTCGCTCCCAATCGACAGGGAAGAAGACAAGAGACCGGAACTTAAAAAAAAAGTATAGGTGCAAGAAAGAAAAGCGCAAGGCGAGGGCAATGCATGACTATTAACGACGATTAACGACGACACGCAACGAACTTTTTTAGACGGCATTTTTTTGCGCTGGGCGGATGGCATTTGTCGAGTTCCTCTCTTTGAGCCAGCTCCCCATCTTGATTTTATAACCAGTTTTTCTCCTGTTCGACTTTTCCTTTTCTCCTTATATTTCTTTTGCTTTCCTGTAGGGAAGCAAATCCGTTCTTACGTCTGTTTGCAAATGTTTATGTTACGAGAGAGACGGCATTAGTTCAGAGAAGGGGAATTGTGGGTCTACCCCGGTGTTGTTGGTCGTTGGTCGAGAAGTACTGCCAGGTGATATGTGATCATTCTTGGCAATGTTACACCAATGACCATGAGGGGACGAACGAAGCGCCTGGATGCATGTCTGGCCATGTTGCTAATGCCCGAGGGTCTGGTGGAGGGGGCCTGCAAGCGCCCGTCCAACCTGGACTCTTGCCTTACGGGGATATTGTGGGTAGGATGGATGGATGGAGGACATGTTTTTTTAACGACTTATGGGATCGATGAGAAGATATCAGCGTCGACAAGGCACTGACTGCAATGAAGAACGAAAAAAAAGAAGCGAGTGGTTTCACACGATTTAAGATCAGGGTCCCCAGCGGAACTACTCACGAGGAACAAGATCTCGCAAGGGGGAGGAAGTCTGATTTCTCATGTTTTATGATGACAAGCATCTATTCAAGATATTATGATAACGAATTATGAAGAGACTACAATGCATTAGTTTGCCTTTTTTTAAAATCTCATTTGCTCGACTTGAGAGAGTGAGAGAGCCATGCCCACCCCCCTTGTCCTCGCTAAGTGGTGGTACTCTGAAGTACCTGGCATGTACACTCCATATCTGCCGGCAGGTTCTCCAGAGGAAGCGGTCTGAATCCTGGCATGGTATAGTTACTTTGCCATCCGAGGGGGTGTGTGCTCCGTTTTGTGACAAAGACGTCTAAGCGCTCAGTTGGGCTTGTTGGTGGCGGGTCCCCTCTCACGGCTCGAAGCGCGCGGCTGCAGCCTGCTCTGGGGAACTTACAGGACGCATCATAGGCTAATGGCACAGCGGCTCGATGTGAGTTCTGTGGGGTGCAACTCTATATATATCATCCGGTGAGGTACATACATACATACATCCCCCCCCCTTCTGTCCCGCCTTCGCCATTGGGTCGAGAGGGCAGCCTGTACATACATACATATGTGCGTTCCCGGAGCGGAGACGGGCGGTTATCTCGCACCTACCAATCGGCAGAGTTGTGAGCGAGCTGGAAGAACTCCCAGGGATCTTTTGTCGATTGGCCGAGCGAAAGATAGGACCGGGCTTGGGGGTGTCTACGAGTCTACGAGCGAGGTGTTCGTGCCAGGGGTTGTCGTCGGGGGCGTGGAATCGTCCATGTTGGCGTTGAGGTGCATCTGGCGGGATCTGCCAAGGCCTTTGACATGTCAAACCCCCGATAAGGTTAAGCGGTAGGAACAAGCATTAGATTGGGTAGTCTTGGTGGTGGTGTGCGTGTGTTCCTTTGTGTGACTGTGTAGAAGAGATGGGAGGGGGGGGACAGAATGTGTTTTTGCACACTCTCAATAGGCACAGAATCAACGTGATTGTGCCGGTACGTCCTTCCGGGAAGGAGACTAGTTTGATACGAGATGCTGGAGGGCAGTGAATGTGGTCCCGAGAAAACGTGGGGTGATGGGAGTCAGATGACGGTCGTTTGGGAGGTTTTGGGAAGGCTTATAGCAATTCAAGACAGGGGTTGTATCTCATACGAGTTTCATGGGCAGGCAGAGAAACGAGAAACGAGGCTTCTGTCTAGGGATTTTCTTCTGTAGGATCTTTGGAAGAGTCAGCCTGACTGATCGTCGGGCCGAGAGACCAAGACGACGAAGTCTACTATGTGCGCTGGCTGGCAAGCTGGTCGTCGCAAGGAAAGGGTGGGCGCAGGCTGTTATGTTTCAAATCATCAGACCTTTTGGTGGCTTGCAGACTGGTACCGGTTTGGGAAAATGCTTAATTGTGTGTAATCAGCCACATTGAATAGCGGAGGTCCCAGTACCTGCAGCGGCCAAGGGGGAGATTGGCTGTTGGCGAGAGGCAAATGAGCTAGCCAGGCCACGGAAACGCTGTGTCGTGAGATGACGTTGCGCTGAGACGCATGTTTCCTCTGCTTGTGTAACACCGATGTGCTCTCGGGAGGGGGAGGGGAAACGGCTGTGATAGGCAGGCTGCCATCTGGGCGAGGCTTCGATGCATTGTCTCTGATCCGTCTGTCTCTCTTGACGGTTTGAGGTGCGACCGCAAGCAGCCCCATGACCAGTTCCGTAGGGAGACAATGACGAGGTGGTCTGTCGCTTTGCCACCAAGTGTCGATTTAATAACGCGAGGACGGCTCCGGGCAGGGGGCCTTCCAATAATGCGGTCTGTAGCAGTTGGAGCTGGGTGGGCAAATTTCGCACTTGTGCCTCTGATTGAGCCACAAGGTCGGGCTGAGGGCCTGGGATTGGCTGAGAGTCTAGGCCCCGTCTCATCAATCACGGGGGGCCTCGTGTCGTTTCGCCGGTTGGAATCTGCAAGTGGTCCGTTGATGAAGCCCGTTTGACAGTGCCCACAGCTCCCTTCCCCTGAGCACCTTCCCTCCCCCCTAAAATTACCTCTTGCATGCAGCATTAAATCAATCTTGGAGACCCTTGACCGCATTCGTCACTCACAGCTCCATTTTTCATCGAAACTTATATGCATGGTGCCGCGCCTTAGGCAGACATCAAGGAGGAGACTACCGAGACGAGATTCACCTATTTGGTTTCATTTCAAGATCGTGATCTTTTCTTGTAGCAGTGTGCTGTCTTTTTATTCCCATTGCCGAGCACTCGTTCTCGTCCACACCTGTTCGATCCCCCTCTAACGCCTGTTCACCACTCGTCAACAGACCAATAGACCCCGCCCTCGATTGGTTTAGATCTCCATCTCTCCTCCCTCGTCAATCCCAAACCAACCAACCAAGCGAAAGCTGTCCTTTTTGGTGCACCACCCCGCGCTCTTTCGCTCGCCTCCCCTTTCCTTCTTTCAGCGACTTTCTTCACACTCGCTTCTCACCATAGCACCTTCAATCACTACTCAGCAATCATGAAGGGTAAGCCACCACCGTCTCATTGGCTGCTTCCTTTTTATGCTTACCGTTGCTTCCAGGACTTATTCTTGTCGGCGGCTTTGGCACCCGCCTCCGTCCTCTCGTACGTGCCGCTATTGACGACCAGCTCTCCCTCCTGGGAAAGCTTCCCATCTCTCGGTGTATCATGCGAACGTCCAGTGTTAACGTCTACCCTGTTCCCTAGACCCTCACCCTCCCAAAGCCCCTCGTCGAGTTTGGCAACAAGCCCATGATTGTGCACCAGATTGAGGCCCTCGTTTCTGCTGGTGTCACAGACATTGTTCTCGCCGTCAACTACCGCCCTGAAGTAATGGAGAAGTTCCTCGCCGAGGTAAGTTGCCCCCATCATTAGATTCTAATTGAGTTGAACTCGCTGAAATCTCACGCGCCAATTCCTTAGTACGAAGAGAAGTATAACATCAACATCGAGTTCTCCGTCGAGTCCGAACCCCTCGACACCGCCGGTCCCCTGAAGCTTGCCGAGAAGATCCTGCTCAAGGACGACTCGCCATTCTTCGTCCTCAACTCCGATGTCATCTGCGATTACCCCTTCCAGGAGCTGCTGCAATTCCACAAGAACCACGGCGACGAGGGAACCATTGTGGTGACCAAGGTCGAGGAGCCCTCCAAGTACGGTGTTGTCGTTCACAAGCCCAACCACCCTTCGCGCATCGACCGATTCGTCGAGAAGCCCGTTGAGTTCGTCGGCAACCGTATCAATGCTGGCATGTACATCTTCAACACCTCGATTCTGAAGCGAATTGAACTCCGTCCCACCTCCATTGAGAAGGAGACCTTCCCTTCAATGGTCAAGGACAACCAGCTCCACTCCTTTGACCTCGAGAGCTTCTGGATGGACGTCGGTCAGCCCAAGGATTTCCTGAGCGGAACCTGCCTGTACCTCTCCTCCCTCACAAAGAAGGGCAGCAAGGAGCTGACCCCCCCTACCGAGCCCTACGTCCATGGTGGCAACGTCTTGATTCACCCCTCCGCTAAGATCGGAAACAACTGCAGAATAGGCCCCAATGTCACCATTGGCCCCAACGTCGTGATCGGTGACGGTGTTCGCCTCCAACGCTGCGTACTACTCAGCGGTTCCAAGGTCAAGGACCACGCCTGGGTCAAGTCCACCATCGTCGGCTGGAACAGCACCGTCGGCCGCTGGGCTCGCCTGGAGAATGTCACTGTTCTCGGCGACGATGTCACTATTGGTGACGAGATCTACGTCAACGGTGGCAGCGTCCTCCCCCACAAGTCGATCAAGGCCAACGTCGACGTCCCCGCCATCATCATGTAAACACCCAAACGAAAATCCAACCACCCATTCAAACAATCACCCATCTCTCGCATCCAAAGGAAGGCGAGGGCTATAGAAGCGAAAAAGATTCCCAAAATAATTCCGAGCAACTACCTTCAATGTAATGATTTTTCCTCTTCAACCGATTGATCTACGAAACATCTCGCCACTCCAAAAAAACTCACAACACCCCCACTACCCACCACACGAATCTGTAATCGATAACGACCATTTAC